CCGCACCTTGCTCCTTCCTGGTCTGCCCGGCAGCCCACGGGGCCCCAGTTTTGCAGTGACTGCCCTCTGCCCGCACCTTGCTCCTTCCTGGTCTGTCCTGCAGCTTCCTCCAGTGGGATCCCGGTAGGTCCCGGCACTTTTCCCTCAGCATTACACCCACACTATGTTGTATCTAAAACCTTTCCTTCTAAGATGATATGTCTCTAACCAGTCATCATCCCCACCTAGAATTTCCACATACTTTTTAGGGTTAGAACATTTAAAATGTATCTTCTCAGAAGTTAGCATGTCATTATTAACTACAGTCACCATGTTGTACATGAATTTATTCATCCTATCTAAAATTCTGTATCATCTCAATAATGTCTCCACAATGCCCTCCCAGTCCCTGATAACTACCACTCCACTCCATGTTTTCCTCTATTCTACGTTTCCATAAGTTTAAGGTTTTTAGATTCTCATGATCTCATGACCATGCAATATTTGTATTTCTGTCTCTGGCTTATTTACTTAGAATAACATACTCCAGGTTGCATGTTGTCACAAATGACAGGATTTCCTTCTTCCGAAAAGTTGATCAGTATTCTTTGTGTATTTATATGACATTTACTCTATCCATTCATCCACTGATGAACACTTAGGTTGATTCTATATCTTGGCAATTATAAATAATGCTATAGTGAACATGGGGATGTAGATATCCCTGTGACATTCTGATTCCCTTTCCTTTGGCCATATACCCAGAAGTGAGATTGCTGGATCACATGGTGATTCTACCTATCAAGGCATTTCCCTCAGGGGGAAACCTTAATAACTAGTAAGTTCTTTCCCAGCTTGATGATTTTTCTTTCAATGTAGCTATATTATAGGAAAAGAATTATAAGTATGGATTTTTGGCACAATTTAAACAGCACAAAAGCTGTGCCATATACTAGGATATTAAGTTTCATCATTATATAAAGGCAATATTAAGAACCATATAAAGATTCCATACAGTAGCATCATAAAGCTTTATTTTCTGCATCCTATATAATTGTTGGTTAAAACTTAAACTCAAAACTACTGACACTTATATTCCATGTGTACTCCCAGTCTTAGCTTTCACAGTTCAAAAATGCACAGATTTCAGAACGACACCTTAGTTAAGTAGTAACAGTCCTCTGACAACAAAGTTCAAATTCTAGCTATCAGTTAATTGATGTCAACTGAATATCCACAGACCACTATGTAAATAACACATAAGCGCCAGGACCGGACAGCAATCACGGCAGGGCACTTCTCTCAAAGGCCACCGATGTCTGGTCACTGCACATTTGTTATTGTTCAAACACAGATAGCACAGGGTGCCCTCTCCATGTCTCCCTGAGATAAACCCACAGAAAGTGGGGACTCAAAAGCAGCATGTAAAGAAACGAAACGTAGTTACACTGGAACAGAAAGTGGACGTGAGCAGAAGATCTGAAAAGGGGGAGGGCAAAGCAGAGACAGGAGAAACCTCAGCCTGCAGGAAGCGCGAGTGAGAGCTGTGTTGAAAAGCCTGATGAACACAAAGAACAGGAGACAGTCGCTTCACTAGGACCCCAGTTCAGTGGAGCTGTACCACGGGGCTCTAACTGAATGTACAAAAAGCCATTGACCATGGAATGTTGACTCTACAGCCAGAGGGACCCAGTGAGGGTAAACTGATACACACAAATCATCAAGACAAAAAGAATGACAATGTCCCAGAAGTGGTGACACAAACGTAAGACTTCACATTAAAGAATCAGAAATATTTCACTTAGGTACAAAATATTGGAAACTAATCAAAACTTAGAAAGGAATATGACAACCCAGCTCACTAAGGCATAGAAAAAGCTGTGGGCCCCACACCCTAAGTTACAGAAGGGGAAGGCAGACACTGTCAAACTGCTCCTTATAAGGTTTTTGCAAATAAATCACTTTAATTCGCAATATTTCTAATGTTTTAAATTACAATATACTGAATATCAGTTTTACTAACTTTTGACTTCCTGATACATTCATAAACCACAGTAGGAAAGTTTTTAGTGCTTTGGCAAAAAATTCTAAAGGTCACAGAAAAATTGTCATTTCTCCCACAGATTATTAGGATTACTTTTCCTGGTTTCAACTCATACGGTCATTTTCATGGTCCCGAAGCCGAACTCTGTGTATGGCTGATGCCTAAATTTCCAGTTTGTTGTCACTATATGCAGAAATCATTCAGAAACCAACACCTGTTATACCTACTAGGATAATAGCAAGTGGCCTTCTGAACATATTGTATTCATTTATTTACTTATTTATTTATTTTTGAGATGGAGTCTCACTTTGTCCCCTTTGGTAGAGTGCCATGGCGTCACAGCTCACAGCAACCTCAAACTCTTGGGCTCAAGCAATTCTCTTGCCTCAGCCTCCCAAGTAGCTGGGACTACAGGCATCTATCACAAAACCTGGCTATTTTTTAGAGACAGGGTCTTGCTCTGGCGCAGGCTGGTCTTGAACTCCTGAGCTCAGGCAATCCACCCACCTTGGCCTCCCAGAGCGCTGGGATTACAGGTATGCACCACCGTGCCCAGCACTTAACATATTTTATAAATCACTGGCAGTGCCTCAATATAATGCTGGAAGACGTCCTCTCACCAGCCAAACCAGACACACACAAAAGCATTATGTACCTGGCAGTGGTAACTGAACTAACACACCACTGACTCTCGGGTCCATGTTCAATTGATCAATTATATCCAAAAGCTCTTCCTGGGAAACCTCCTTAGGCTTTAGAATAAGCTCACTACAGATACCTGGAAGAAAAACAAGTGAAGAAAGTCACTGGACTAAACAAGACATGGCTGTTCATTCACAGTTTTCATTCATTCTATCCTTTGTAGAATAAGACACCATGAATGATGTCTGGCCCTACGGGGAGAGAAGGCCCTCTACAAAGAGGGCTTGTCACGCGTCATCAGGAGGGATTCCTCGTGGAGTGCTGGGACTTTTTCTTTAGATTCACACGCACTCTGTGACCAAGCTTCCTTTGTGGCGACCTGCACTTATTGTAATAAGCTACTATCAGCACATCTGAAGAGAGCCAAAGTGCCACCACCACCACCATTAGGCCACAATTGACAAAGTGAAGGGGCCAGGTTTATTATTTGATTAAAGCACATGTAATGGAAATGGGCTTTTATTCCTCTTGTATCTTATCACAGGATATGAAATCACACTGAATTGAGCATGTAAAGAATTTAAAGAAAAATAGTAAGACATTACCATAACTTTTGTAATTTAAAAATATCTAATACATGTTCTTCAAATGGTACATACTTGATATCTTTCAGTCATAATTATCACACTTTAAAGTAAAAAAGGAAAACAAATTTAGTAACAATTACAACTAAAACACATACTCACCTACAGCAGAGGCAGCTCTTATCTTATTCCTGACGTAGGTATGGCTTGCTGGGTTGTCTCCCACCAAAATGATGCTGAGGTGAGGTCTTCTGTTCCCAAGGGAAATCCAGGACGCCACACCTTGCTGAATTTCTTTCTGGATATGTTTGGCCATTTCGGTTCCTGAGATAATAATGGCTTCATGTCTATGGGAAGCAAAACAATAAATGTAATACTAAAGAGACAATAAGGAACTTTCAACCACACAAATCTCAGGTACAAGAGTGAATAAAACATCTATGGTTCTCCCAGCAAGACCCTGAATTTGATATTTTTCAATTATATTGATATCCACTCTTTAAGTTCATAAACATATTTATAATTTTGTGAAGGATGCCAAGTCTGCTTTTTAGTTCTATATTGTATGATGTGGGGAATGTTTACATCCCTACAAAATCCATATGTTGAAATCCTAATCCCAGTGTTTTGGTATCAGGAAGTGGGACCTTTCAGCAGTGATTAGGTCATTGGGTGCAGCCCTTATAAATGAGGTTAGTGTCCTTTCAAAAGACTCCAGAGATGGCCTTTGTTCCTTCAACATGCGGAGACACAGCATGAAAACAGCCATCTACACACCAAAATGGAGGCCTTACCAGACCCTGAATCTGCTGCTGAGTTGATCTTGAACTTTCCAGTCTCCAGAACTTGATAAAGAAATTCCTACTATTTATAAGCCAACCAGTCTGTGGTATTTGGTTATAACAGCCCCAATACTATAATACTATCCATAGCATTCATTTCCATTTCTTTATAACTTTCTTTTTATGTGCATATACACATATATATACACACACGAGGCCAGAAAATTAAGTTCATGAACTCATTCTAGAAAAAGTGCTACATACCTCACTGGGGACTATCGGTATGGTCTCCTCTCTGAGGTACTTCCTTGGGGGAATGGCCATCAGAGCTGTCCTTCTATAAGATCTGACAATTAAGTTCATAAATTCTTCCTAGAAAAAGTGTTTTAAAGGGTGGAGTAGGCCCTGGCATTGCTGCACAGCTTCCCAGGGGAGTGTCTTGAAGGTGACCATGATGAAATTTAGCAATGAGGTATCAACACTTTATCTAGGATGACTAACTCACTAACTTAACGGTCTGACCTTGTACACACATAAATTATCAAACCACATACTCAAGATCTGGGCTATAATATTACCCACATTAAAAGAGGTGGATTGGCAGACTCTAGTCTTCACAGCTGGGCTCCATCTTTTAGATATATGGCCCATGGTCTTGTGACCCTAATGCTAAATCCATTTACTCTTGGTGAGTACCCTGTACAGGACTCCAAAGTCATGAGTTCCATACTGAACAACTCTTTCAACTAACTCAAGGAATAATTCTGTTCCCGGGCCCAGGCCAGCATCCTGACCATAGCTGTCAGCCTACCACGCTCATCACTGATGATGGTGGGGACCAGGCAGTGCAC